TGTTTTGTTTTTTGGTACTAGGGATTGATCCCAGGAGTGCTTTATTACTGAGCTACATTCTCTTTGAGACAGTGTCTGATTAAGTTGCTGAGGCTGGCCTCAAGCTTGCAATTCTCTTTCCTCAACCTTCCAAGGCCCTGAAGTACAGGCATGCACCATTGCATCTGGACTCTTGGTTGGTGTTTTTTTTTGTTGTTGTTGTTTTGTTTTGTTTTTATTGTTGTTTTTAATACCAGAGATTGAACCAAGGGCACTTAGCCACTGAGCCATATTCCCGGCCCTTTTTTATATTTTATTAGAGACAAGGTCTAGGTGAGTTGCGTAGGGCCTCACTAAATTGCTGAGGCTGGGTTTCAACTCACAATTCTCCTGCCTCAGCCTCCCAAGTCACTGGGATTACAGGCGTGTGCCATCGCACCCTTCCCTCCCCCCAAAAAAAATTATATCAAAGGTTTGTTTCTGCTTGGTTTGGGGATAACCCCAAAAGCTTATGTGTTGAGGACTTGGTCCCTAGCACAGCAGTATCCAGAGGTATTTTGGGAAATGATTGGAGAATGAAGGATCTAACCTCATCAATGGATTAATCCATTTGACAGATTAAAAATCTGAATGCACTGCTGGGAAAAGATGGAAACTAGGCAGCTGGGGCATGGTTGAAGAGGTAGGACAATATTGGCATGCCCTTGAGGCCCCTTCTGTCAATCTTCCTCTCTAGCTGCCATGAACTGACAGCTTTCCTCCACTGCACCTTTTCACCATGATGTTTCTTTTTGAAGCTAACCGACCATGGACTTAAACCTCTGAAACCATGAACCAAAGTAAATCTTTCCTCTCTGAAGTTGGTCTTACTAGGTATTTTGGTCACAGCAAGAAAAGCTGACTAACATAGTATCTATATAATAATAAAGCAGTTTTTCTTTAAACTGAAGTTTTCCTTCTAGGAAACAATTTCCTGCTGTGAACCTTATCTGTTTTCTAAAGGAAATGTGAGCCAACAGCATTAATTGCTTTTTAAGTTTAGGTAATTTTGTTTGCTTTTTGCTTCCCTGGCTGCCTTTTTGTAAATGTTTGCTGACTCTAGCAATAGTGGAGTCCATTATGAGTCATATATAGAACTGCAAAATAAAGATAGACTTTGGGCAGGGGTACAGCTCAGCTGGTAGAGTACTTGCCTCCATGTACAAGGCCCTGGGTTCAATCCCTAGTACCACAAAATAAAGAAGAAAGAAAGAAAATGAAGATAGACTTTTTTCCCTGCACCTCTTTTTTTGAGCAGTTTAATTCTTAAAATGTTGCAAGAAAAAAACAGTGGTCAGATACCATGGAGCATGCCTGTAATTCCCAGCGGCTGGGGAGGCTGAGACAGGAGGATTGAGAGTTCAAAGCCAGCCTCATCAACAGCAAGGTGCTAAGCAACTCAGTGAAACCCTGTCTCTAAATAAAATACAAAATAGGGCTGGGGATGTGGCTCAGTGGTTGATGTCCCTGAGTTCAATTCCCAGTACCAGAAAAAAAAAAAAAAATTTTTTTTTAAATGGTCTAGGCATAGTGATGCAGACATATAATCCCAGTGACTCAGGAGGCTGAGGCAGAAAGATTCCAAGTCAAAGGCCAGCATTGGCAACTATGTCAGACTCAGTGGCACACACCTGTAATCCAAGAGGCTCAGGGMATTGAGACAGGAATATTACAAATTCAAAGCCAGCCTTAGCAATTTAGCAGGGCCCTAAGCAACTTAAAGAGACCCTATCTCAAAAAATAAAAAGGGCTGGGGATGTAGAACAGTGATAAAGCATCCCTGGCCTCAATCCTTGGTATCTCAAAAAAAAAAGAATAGTAGAACACCCCTTCACCCAGATTTGCTTTTTGGTTGCATGTTTTCATGTTTGCTTTTAATTTTTCTTTTTTTTYTCTCTCTCTCTTTTGTTCCTTAACTGTTTGAGTTATTTGCAGAYATCTAGACATTTCAGCTTAATCTCATACATTGTTTGCTGGGGATTGAACCCAGGACCTTACACATGCAAGGCAAGCACTCTACCAACTGAGCTATATCCCTAGTCCTTAACCTTAATCCTCTAAAACACCAGCCTTTTTCTGCAGTACTACAAAACATTGAACAAATTCAGAAAACTAGTATTTATGCAGTGCTAGTATCTAGAATGATTTACTCTCCTTACTCATATTTCCATGATTGTCCCAGTAATGCCATTTACAGCTGGATTCTTTTTCCCCTCTCAGATCCATGCAAGGATCGTTGCATTGTTTTGTTTTTGTTGTGTTTTCTAGTGCTAGAGATTAATCCCAGGGCCTCATTCATGCCAAGCAAGCACTTAGGATTGAGCTA